CTTCTTCCTCTTCCCAAAGATGACAATTCAGCTAAAGGGAAGGAGATTTGAGACGATAGAAGAGATTGAGGCAGAATCGCAGATGGTGCTTGACCGGCTGACAAAGAAAGATTTCCAGGGATGCTTCCAGGCTTGGCAGCGGCGCTGGGATCGTTGTGTTCACTCCCAGGGGAACTACTTCGAGGGTGATGGATGAATTTAATACCTGAGATAAGTGTACGGGTTTTTATACGCGCAGTCTTGAAACTTTCTGATCGCACCTCGTATAATGTTGCCTTACCACCATTTAGCTAGCACAACTCAGAAGCCCCATGATGGCCACTGTATAAAGTGTTGTGTCCTACCTCTCTCTCATTGTTGCCGAAGTTGATGCCGAGATTAGGCATTGCCCTCAAGATGGCCACCAAGGACTGGATCGTGTTACTGTACACCACAGGCCTATATTGCTTGAAGTCCTCCGGCGTGAATCCGCTCTCGTGAATAATTCTGTGAAACACAAACAACAAAACAATCACGACAAGTTTCTGTGTCATAATTAATCTCTTCAAATCAATTTCCATTTTATCCTCAACAAATTACTCTGTACAGACTTCGAAAAAGCTTCTTCGCTGAATAAGGACTACATTAGCAATATCAGCTAGAGTGTACAAAATGTTAAGCCACTTTCCTCAATTAATTATTTATCTTTACTGGGTCCAACATCTTCCCCAACACCATCTTCCCAAAACCAGTAATCTACGTTTTTCTCAAGCAATGAAAATTTCTCGATCGTAACCGCCGCTTAATTTCATAATGTATGACGATTATTATGATTTCAATTATGACAATAGTGATAATAACAACAACAATAATAATTCCAATAATTATAGGAGCAAATGGAACTGTCTCCAAGTCACTTGAAAATATTTGGCCAACATTCCGGGCGAACATGACACCAGGGAAATAAAGAATACTGCCAACTACGGTGGCGTCTGTCGTTTTGTGATGGTGCGTTTGGCAGGAATCTGGCCTCAGTTGCCGTAAAGATATTTTCACATTTAATTTGCTTGATAAAGAATGCTATAAATTTTGTACTACCAAGCGACATGCCAAGTTAATGCTGCAGTAAATTGTATTATTGTTCAACAAGAAAGAGATTCATTCCCGTCGATTTTGATAGGTTATACTAAGCCAGTAATAATTTAATTATTTACAGAGCTGCAGCCATATGACCAATTAGAGAAGAGAAGAACCGAAATAATAAATACAACAAAACGACAATCAAATTATAAATATTAATGATGAAAACTTCGAAACTCATTCTTCAGATGTATGCATGATAATTGGATCTAATAATCTGCATGGGATAACTCAGAGACCTACAAAGTTAAATGGTACGAAGGTAATAATAAATCAGAACGCCTCGGTAGAATGGTTAACACTCGTTTTGTATTCGGGAGGTCTGGGTCAAAATCTCGGACCGGAGACTATTCAGAGATTTTTCGTGGTTATTCTCAGTCCCTCCAGACAAATGACAAGAACAGTACTTTAAACTACGCGACCGTTTCCATCCTTATCCATTCCAACACATTGTTCAGTTATCACCCATGAAGATTTCTGTCTTCTGGGTCGTTGCGCTTTGTAGTCTGGTAGATGTTTACCAAAGTTTCAGAGGTCATATTGCCTCCGTCATCAGGGCGATGAATTCATCGCCCTGATGACGGAGGCAATATGACCTCTGAAACTTTGGTAAACATCTACCAGACTACAAAGCGCAACGACCCAGAAGACAGAAATCTTCATACTCACCGCTGTGAAAACCTCAAATCGTACATAATCATCCCGTCATTCGACACTAGATAATCGCAGACACCGTCATTAAAAAAAGCATAAACAAATAAGAATATTGAGTCAAAAGATTGTGGGGAGGGGATACAAGTCGTTGTAAACGCTACGATCATGTTCCAGAGTTTACCTGGAGAGACGGAGGAAACCCACAATAAATCTCATCCTATACTACTGGTATCTGGGCCGAGAATCGACCAAGGTAACATCCCGAATGTGATCCACAAATATTAGTCCGATTGCAAAATATTTATGGCGACTGAACATGGATCATAGATAAGCGTTTGCCGGTAGGTGTCTCTGCCAACAATATAGATAATAAAAACTAATGGTTTATGGCAGAAGTGAGCGAGCGTTTATTATGAATAAGGTAGCAGATAGTTGAAGGAAACTGTGCCAAAATCGGCGATAGTGCCAAGAACGAAATCGAGAGACCTTTTTCAGAAATGTAAAGAGATGCAGGTATGAATGAAACAGTTAGAACGGGTATGCCTCTTGACCTGTGGATAATATGAATGCAGTTCACACAGGATGCTGCGCCAGCGAGCAACTCACCTACGACTACATAACAGGCAAAATGTGTCCGTTGAAGCGGAGATTTTATCAACAGGTGTACTGTGAACGCTGTCGTGCGTCACTATTTAAAAATGAAAAGAATGGACTGTTCATAATCGCCGTTCATTTCCTTCATATTTGTCCCTATACCCCTAAAAGCCACGGGACGTCAAGTGAGGACAGCAAAGAGGAGAATGAGGGGAGGGGAGCCTCTGGCGACGTAGGCGAATGAAGCGTGCAGGGGCAGAGACCCTAGTTAGCATATTATATAGGCTGTACACAGGAAGAGAACGGTGCCTTGCATAATTATTATGGATTTATGACTCCTAATAGTCTCTCGATACGGATGAATGCATTAAAGAGAAGGCACGCGTCTCATGTTCTCAGAACTGTTTGTTAAATTTGTTCCCAACTCTCCACGCCTCTGCGTTCAGTAGTTTGCGGACGCGTAACCCCACGGAACCTTGAAGCTTGGTTCCATCTACGTATTCAACGTAAGATAATGAAGTTCAAAAATACCTGATATTTCAGGAGCAACACTAATTATGACAACCGTGAGGAATTTCTGACTGAACGAATTATTTCACGACTGATTTACAAACAGTGTGCTGTTTCAACCACATGTAACGGAGCGCCGGATGAGTTGATATGATAATGAATGGTATGTACGTAAGGATTTGGAAGGATGCAATAGTTACAGATACAGACTGAGGAACCTTAGGATATTCGGTACCATCCTTATGTAATTAAAAACAATACCGTACTCCAACATTCTCGATAAACCAATAAATGCAAAGAAAACACCCGCATCTTTATGAAATATATTTTCCAGTGTAAGTAAAGGCCTAAATAAAATTATCTTTTAAGAATTAATTGTTCCAGCAGTTTTTAATTCAGACCAGATGATCGACTCCATGGCAGTTAAAAAGAGATTTCAGGTTCTCGAGGTGGCAGGCGAATATGAAGATGGCTGTTTTATGGCTTGTTGCAACGTGTAGTCCAGTAGAAGTTCGCCGACATTTCAGAGGTGCTTGCTGAGATATCATCAACATGCTGCAGGCAGCAAACACCTCTAAAACGTCGGTATACGCCTTCCAGAATACACGGCGCAACATCCCAGAAGACAGCCATCTTCTTACTTGCCACCGCGAGAATCTACAGTCTTCCTTTTCAAGGTTTAAAAGTATCACGAACATAGCCGACATGCCATAAGAAGCGGTAAATGTTAGAATGGTGTGCACTTCTGAAAACATAAATCAGGTTCGCGCTAATTGCTCATACATTTACAACTAAAACGCTAATTTCTTCACACGCATAACCTAAGAATCAGTTGCCTAGATTTCAAACATTCAGCCGCCAACATTGGAGCCAGTGGTAGCTGAGTTTGCCACTTGCCTTAACATTCAGATCGAAATTTCACCCAGTGTTCTTACGGGTTTCAAGACTGGTTGGTAATGTGCAATCCGTACGGGGTTACCCTACACAGAATTCGTATGCGTTCTTAGCACCTTGGCACTGCAAATTCTTCTAGCTTTGTGTGTACGGGCGTACGCGTGTGTAAACTGCATACACAGACATATATATGCCTATGTCGAGATAGTGTTCGGATAAAGCGAGTTAACAATTTACAATGATTTATCTGATAAGAATACTCCTACATTAACGGTTAGCTAATTCTGTGGTTAAAAGCCATAAACCGATATGCGAAATAACAGTTTTACAGGAAAAAAACTTAAAACTTCAAGTTAAAATTTTCACTAATACTATAGCTTTATTATGTTTTAGTCTGCACGTGTTTTTGCGTGGCAGGGGATACCACTAGAAGTTTATTTACATCATTATTAAAATATGACCGAAGTGCACATGTCAGCTTATGGCTTTTCAGCAAAGAATTAATCTATGAGTTTAATGTTATGAGAAGATAAGTGTAAACAGTAAATTCATCAGAACAAAGTTTCAAGTGTCAGCATTATTCGACTACTTCCTACAATGCAAAAGTAGGTCACAAGTTACCGTCCTAGGCATTTGCCCAGATGATCGAACAATCAAATCCCACTATGGTCGCTCATTTGTTAGTGCTTGCAGTTGTAAGCAGACCTGTACAGTCTACTTTAAATTTATCGAAAATAACCTAAAACTATCGCATCGTCGCGATGTTTGTTACTCTTGACAAGCAAAAAAATATTTATACCTAATCTTCAGGTGAATTTAAGATCTATAAAGATAAAAGGGAAACATTCCGTCACACACGGCAATATTTATTTTATTAAGAATAAAAATATATCAGAACAATATATCTCGATTATATATGATCATCACCAGTCTCTATTTCAAATTAAATAAGGAATCTACAGAGGCTGAAGGTAATCGACACATGTCCTAATAATTTTTATTTTTATTCTGAACAATATAAATATCGTATTATGTGGCGGAATCTTTCCTTTTTATGCATTTATAACAACCACATTAGGATGAAAATAAACGTATATCGATATACATACCGAACTTCATATGTCTCGCTCTAACGGTTCATTAATTATCTATGTCAAAATGAAAGGCAAAGAAAACTTTCACGCGTATACCATGTCCTTGTTTTACATTCTACAAAAACATTACCTTCATAGGAGCTGCATATTTTTCAATGACCTATTACAATGCATCATTTCAGGGCTCTATATTGGTGGCACTAATGTCACTCTCATCTCACAAGTTCGCTTGTGCGTCGTTCAGTTTTTAACTGCAGGAAACTGAAAAATACAAGGCACTTGTAGCATAAAACGCCACCGACCTTAATCTACCTGTAGAATAAGCAAATATCCATAGCTTGGTTTATAATTTGCTGTTGAGGAATTTTGAGTCTTATGAGATAATATTATGCATATACATGTTTAATACTTTATATTTTCAGTAATTATTAACGGGAAATTTACTTGTATTCATCCAGAATGTTCCATTAAGTCCGGGGCCTCAGGAGAAATCTATTATTTAGCAAAATACGGAAATAAAAAGTTGTTGCAAATTACGTGTTTAAAGTCTCAAGCAATAGAATTTTCGTGCCTTTATGGCGCTACACTCTTTACACAATAACAATAAAAAGCACACAACAA